GCTTAGAGCAATCCTATACACACTTACCTGAGCAAATTATATATATCTGACTTTCAGTTGTTTCTGGCTCTAAAATGTATGATTAAAAATAAGCAGCCAGTTTGCTGTCCCTTGAAAACTGAAAATAATGAAAACAATTACCTGCCATGGTTTTAGTGCCCACCTGACACTGGGCTTATCTTTCAGCAAGGTTGTGTGTCTTTTTATGTAAACAGTTTACATCACTGTTTTACATGGCTTGGAATCTTGGCTAGTATCAACTACAGTTGTGCATGTGTTTTTGCCTGAGTTGAAAAAAGAAATGTTTAGAAGTTTTCAGGACAGACTCCTCTAAGAGCATTCCTAGTTCACATAATCATATTTTCCTTGATCAGTAGTAGTGCTTGTTAAATCCCCAGTGTAACAATTTTTGACACTTATTTCAACTGTGTCATCTTTATATCTGTGTGTAAACAAGAGGTGGGGAGAAGCTGCTGCTTTAAAAGATAGTAGGTGGCTGTATTGTTACAGTAAACCATCGCTGCACAGGGATTGCGTGACTGCAGCAGGCTTAGTCGCAACCTCAAAAAAGTGGTTATGAAAGTGATCTTTTGATCTGAGGAACAGAGATCTGATGCATGATAGACCAGTAATGCATAAATGAGCTGCTTTCTCTGTTTTTCTGCCCTGCTAAGAGAAAATGGGTTTGCTATAATCCTGACCTTACCCTTTGGAACAAAGCAATGAGATGAAAAACAGCATCTAATTAGTAATGGCTTCTTATTGTCTTACAGTTCTTGAACATTTTCTATAAAACATTTTCTATATTCCTCTGCCTGGTAGTTTGCATGGGAAGTAAAAAGAATATTTGTATAGACTGTGGGGTTAAGAAACCCACTCAATGTTTGGGCTTTGTTTGGGAAATCTGAAGCACTTCATTAAAAACAAAGCTGTTAGCCAAAACATCTTCCATAATCAAAGTGTGCTGAAGTGTGTTCATGCATGAGTATCTCCCCTAAGACAGTAGGCATTTTCATGTTTGATAGAGCTTATTAATTGTTTTGAGCAACGAAGGTTACTTGGATTTACTTCTCCAAGAGTAACTCACCACTGTATTTTTGTTGTTGCTGTTGTTGTTTTTAATCAGGACTGGGAAAGATTTAGGGAATTACTGTTAGAGTAGACTGTAGTCTTCCCCAACTTTAAGCCCCAGCAGCCCCAGCTGACATGGCCAATAAGCAGGAATACAGAATCTTATACTCCAAAATACTTTGAAGGCACCAGATTGGCTAAGGTTGGAGCATGTGGTACTCAACAGGGTGGACCAAAAGATAAAGCACTATCATATATCCTATAGGTTAGGGCAGTATTATTATTTTTAATATAGAAGATATGAGGCTAAGGCTGAGAATGGCTTGGCAACGGAAAAACTTAAAATGGGGGATTCTTGAGACATACCTCCATCTCTAAGCCATAGCACTACATCAGAGTCAGAAATGGCATTGATTTGACATGAATGCCCATTTTCCTAGCAGAACAAGTTAGGTTCATGATTCAGCAATAAACTTACACTCTTCTTAATCCTAAAATCTGAGTTAAGCCACTGATCTCTGTGAAATGACTGGAAAAAGGGCCACTAGGTTACCTCATGATGAATACAAATACTTTTATAATAGCTGCTTTATAGGTCAACTGTAACCTTTTAAAATTGTCCAGATGTTACTCTCTCACACATCATCAACACAATTTGGATCACAGGCCTGTGCTATATTAACATCTTCTTATATAAATGCTGCTTGTTTTATGCTTAGCTCCCAAAACAACATTATAACCAAAGTAATGTCTGTATTCTGCAAGGAATATAGGACTATATTCTACAAGGAATACGCTTTTGTGCCTGCCCTTGTCTGTCTGTAAAACAGAAATGTAAACCGCAGTGTGTGGTTTCTGATACCACATGTGTATGTGTATGCAAGACTGATTCTGATAGCACTTTAATTTCATGTGAGTGAAAAGAAATTATCCTCTGATATATGCAAATCTCCCCAAGTTGGGAGTGGTAGTTCTGTGTATATACGATAGATTGCAAACTATGGCATATTACAGCTATATGCACATCTCCCTTAACATACTCAGCTTCATAAAAAAATCTTTTTAGCAGAAAGACAGCTGTTCATTGTGTTCCGGCCACAATTTTATACACACTTTCCTGGGACTATATCCCACTGAACTCAGTGGGATTTATTTCTGAGTAGACAAATACAAGGTTGCACTGTTACTTAGATATTAATGAGCTAACTCCTTTAGTAGTGAAGTCAAGACTGCAAAAATAAGAGTTTTCACCATTTTGTTGAGTTGCATGCATAATTCTATTCACATTCTAAGTATTCCTCTAAGAAAGCAGGACTGTAGTTTGTGCAAAGTTTTACAGACCCACCACAGAGATAATTGTCACAAATACAACTAACCTGCTTACTGTATGCATGTCTGTATGTGCATGCATAAGAGTGTGTGTGCATGTGTGCTCACGCATCTCTAGCCTCCTAGGCTTTCATGCAAGAAAAAGTTTACAAAGATACTCTTTTAACTTGCCAATTTCTTCTTTTTCCTCTAATAAATTATTTTCTGGTTTTCATTGTTTGGAAGCAGAATATTCCAGAGAACAGATAAAAATATGAAATTAGGTCCCATTACATGAAGGCTTAACCTTCATGAAGAACATTCCTAACTTGCCAGGCGTCATCAATATTTAACAGCTGTTGTTATGAAGAATTTCATAGGGGAATGTGGGTTGCCTGTTCGCACGCAACAGCTTAAACAAGAGCCAGGCCACTGTCAGTTGCATGGAAAGACTGACAGTCAGTTCTCCTTGCGTGACAGTGAAGCCTTGGTTACTCAGCATTATTCTTTTATACCAAAGGCGTGTTATCCCCCTGGTGTTTCTTTCAGGGCGGGGGGAATCCTCTGCTGGGGAGGAGGGGAAGGAAGCAAAGGGTGGAGATTTCAATTAAGTGGCTCTGTGCCCAGCACTTGCTCACATGCAGGGAAGAGTTTTCTACAAACTCTAATCACGCAAGCTGTCAAAATACAGAACAGCCCACAAAACTCTGAGTTGCTTGTTAGAGGGCAGCACTTCCTCATAGGAAGCATGAAATTCTAATGGAAGAGTATAAGTTATTTTATCTCCCCTCCTCCCCTGTTTTTAAGGGGCTGGAAAGATTGAAAAGGAAAAAATAGCTGAATTTTGAAGCTTAAGTAAATGATACGTGTTATGCATTTAAAAGTTCAGAGCCAACATTTTAAAAACTTTTCTCAAGAAAGAGAAGATCAAAAATAACCCATTACATAGGAAAAAGGAAAAAAGAACCCTGTTACTGCTGGCAATTGTTTTGTCAGCCACTGCTAGACTTCACTTAGCTTACATACTGTGGACACTTGGAATATGTGAGGTGCTGTTGACTTCTTCAGATCAAATTGAATTGCAAAGTGTGAAGGCAAGTTGTTTTGTGTACATCCAGTTTTCTAGTGCACATGGTGAAATAGCTGTGATAGTATGCAGCAAAGAAATTGCTAGATCTGGGCTTATGGGGCCATTATCTATATCACAGGGGTCCACATCTATTTCCCATGACCCTGGATCTATTCTCTAGAGCCCTGTATATCCCTTGGTGCCCATGAAAAGGGCTTTTTCCTCAGCTTAATTGTCACACAGAGGCCAAATTTCAAGGAGAGGATTAATTCTTCCCTTTCCAATTGCTGCAACACCCTCCTCCACAGTGCAAAAAGAAGGGGAAAACTCCACCACAAAATCTTCCCCTGCATGTTTTTAGGGGAAAAACATTTTCCATTGGTTTTGGGATAAACCAGGACAGGGTATAAATTAACTGCTTTAGCTTTATTTGAGATTATTTGGATATGACATTAATTGGCTGGTTTTGCCTCGTATGGCATTTAAATATATTTTAGCAAATATTGATTTATTGGCATGTATCAATATAAATTAGCACATACAGATTTCTGCCATAGGGCCCTGGGTCTTGAATCCAGTATGCAGATACAAGATGCAGATAGCTGATAGAAGGGTTAAGCCAACTGAGCTGCCATTAGCTACAAAAACAAAACCAACAAACTTTGGGCAAGGTTTGAAAACTGCCCAGTTACCATTTTGTGATCCCATTGGATATATATTCTTTCTGAAAAATAAGATTCATATTTTGGGTTGCAAATGTTCATGCAGAATAGAAGGAGCACTCTGATAGTGCTACCCTTGGCTGCCAAGTTGATCTGCAGTGCATTATTGGGTCGATGGCAGTGAAATTTAGAAGTGGGATCCCTGTGTCAGGACTGGGGCATTTCGCTTTTTAATCCAAAGATAACCCTAGATATTGGATGTGGCAGAAAGATGGCTAATCAGAATATCTTATATGCAAAAACAAAAGCTTGTCATCAGTTAACTGAAGAGGGATAACTGAGCATTCAAAGACAACCTTGTGTCAAAATTTACAGTGTGATGTTTGGACAAATTTTCAAAATAATCTTGTCTTAATATGTTTTCTATTTGAGATTGCACTGTTTTTCAGATTTTAAAGAAAATGTTTTACACAATTTTCAGTGTGCTGTAGTGTGCTTCAAATCTAAAACTTTTTAACAAGTGAGACTTTGAACTAACCACAAAGACACTAAAATTAATGATAGCCTAGCAAAGGAAAAAATGTCAAAATAAGGTCCAGAAATACCTTGGCTTGGATCCAGGATCTTCATTCAGTTGACAGAAGAGCTCCAGACATGGCAAGTGACTCCCCACCCCCACAGATCGCTGTTCAGTGGGGTCCCTGACCCCTTTGGATAGTAGTTTCAGCAAGCTGGAGGGGGGACACTGGAAAGAAGCAGGCAGGGAAGTCCATTTCTGCCAGCCCAGTTGCATGTATCTATACCTGGATCCAGCCCAGTAAAATTCAGTTGTTGTTGTTTTGACATTGCTACAGATGTCAAATATATACTGATTTCATTCTTTCCAACAGTCATTCAAGAAAAGCACTTGAGAAAACAAGCAAGCCAGGGAATAAAAGAAGCTGGCTTACCCAAGGAACCTGCCATTCCAGAAGGTGGATTCTTACTAGAGGTGTGTGATAGACACCGTTTTTTTCAACTTGACTTGCACAGAAGTATGCATGAGCTGTAACCCCATAAATATGTTGTGGATCCTGATCGCAAAACCTTTTGTATGTTAATTATTGCCTGAAAGGAAAAAAAAAACTTTCTAAAGGTGCCTTGCTTGGAGTTTGTTCTTTCTCACCAGATGATAACAGATGAGGGACTATTTGCAAAGCTGTCAAGTGTATTGGTCTTCTGTAAATTGTAGTTTTTGCGGCATGCACTTGAAAGGAACAGTACAACCCTGTGCATGTTAAGTCAGAAGTCTTACTGAATTCAGTGGGTCATTTACTGGGGTTGCTAAGGTTGCAGCCTAAATTAGCTTCATCACAGAATGGTAATGGCTGCTTATAACAACCTGAGGCATACTGTAACTATTCATTGTAGAACAGCCTCTTCCAACCTGGTTCCCTCATGATGTGTCAGACTACGAATCTAAAAGCATAACTGGCATTATGGAGCAATTCTATCCTTTTTTCTCCTCAGTGAATTTTTTGTGATAAGAGAAAATAACAGAAGTGTTAGGAAAACACAGGAGGGTTACAAGGAGAAAATGACAATGTCTGGCAGGCCCCCATAAAATTCTGAGAATGAGGCAAAGCGTTGTCTGGAAGCATCCTTAATGGATAGGGGTGGAATCTACCCTTTGCTGTCTCCAAATTGCTGACACTGGGTGATGCATTGGTAGGGACCCTCTTTCAACCCATGGATCAAATTCAGTTTTATGAAAGCTCTTGGGTGGGGATGCTTCAGTGGTGGGCAAGACTAGTGGCAAAGACAGTGGAGTCCAAGGTACAAAAATACCAGCATTTTGTAGTTTGAAACACTTATTACCATTAATGAAACCATTGAAGAACACTTTTAGCATCTTGGGAAAGGCTGCACAAATGCTGAGAAACCACCAAATTGTTAGTGGTTGGGGAGAACATGGTGTGGCTCTCTGGGGTACCTCAGGAGGGCTGGACTCAGTTCCTGGGCTTGAGGGAGGTTCTCCATCCCTGTCATAACAGATACAGTCAAGCATACCCGTGTGTTACAGTACAATTGGAGAAGTTCCTTCTAAGCAGTTTGTTTTTCCCATTATACTGTTTACAAGCTTATCTCCTTGTGAAATAAATGCAAGAATGTGTGTTCTATTTCCAAATGCTGGAAATGGCCAATTATTTGGAAAAGAGATTAAAAAGGGCCATGTCCTCATTAAAGGAAGCTGTTTCAGATAAACTGAAAGTTCATATTCTAAAAATGTCATACTATCTTGCGTGACTTCAAACTACGTTAAAGTGAAGCATGTCTGAAGGCCTTTACTGTTGTCCTTTGGGAGCCATAGCAACCTCCTCTCTGGAGAGTGCAATATGAGTCATTCTGTTTCTTTATTTCAAGGAACAGTAATAAGAAAAATAAATGTGCCTCAGGACTTAAAAACAAAACAAAAACTTTTACTAACTGTGACCTTGACCAAGACTGCTTTGAAGTGTTTTTTGGCAGGTCTTTAGTTAGAGCACTAAAATGAAAAAGGGGTGGGAAAAGGGCATTATAAAAGACCTTGCCAAGTGAAATTATGCTTTCTTTATAATTCATCTTCATTCTTTATTAATGTTTCTTAAATATATTCATAGAAGAAACATGCAAGTTCCACCTGAGAAATATTATGGTCATTATCACCCCACACCCCAATTGAACTTACTGTGAACTGTGATGGGCAAATTGCTTGTTAAGTAGCAGGTGCAGCATATCGTGACTATATAATTGGATCTGCATGTTTGCTGAAGAACATAAAGTACATTTTCTAGCAAAGTACTTTTTCCCTTTGGTAGAGAATAAACAATTCCATTCCTTGTGTAGCATGTAAGATAAAAAAGTGCATCCCAAAGACTCCACTTTACCACAGACAAATGTTCACAATACTTGTTTCTTATTCTTCAAGAGCTTGTCCTGGAAACTTTGCCTGTTATTGATTCCATATGGATTTACCACATACAGTCATCTGCATACATATATTAAAGCATAAAAGCTTTGTTTATTTGTAGCTTTCTTCTGCTTTATAAAAAATATTTTTAAAAAATCATATAGAACAGCTTTTTAGTAGCCAGCTGGGCTATTTTATTAATAACACAGGGATAAGATTCCCAACAAGTTTATAGAGTTGTTATCATACAATATTTGCTTCATTCCTAAACAGGTGACAGATTGTCAGCTTCCAAGCTGGGCACCAGGAAGATCCAGAATTGATTGTATTATAGTTGAAGAGATGGATTTTATGTATGTGGCAATTTACAGTGCAAGATAAGCAAAACAAATAACCTGTCCCTAACAAGGGAGCATATATAGACTAAAAGTTGATTATGTAGTAGATAACTTAAAGGAGATGCAAAAGCAGCAGGGGATAATTATGAGCAAATGCAGTTATATAGGCTTAACTGCAGGTTATCTGATCTAGCTCTGTATCAAGGCAGAGTGGGAATGTATTAGAATATTAGGAATACATGGTTTTGTAGTAAAGAAGACAATCTGGAGGAACCACTATGCAGAATGTTTCCCACGAAAGAATGCAGGACAAAATCTTCATCTAAAAGAGATCATCTTCCTGGTAGGGCTCTTTGCAACATAAACAGTGCTGAAGCAAGGAAAAAATTATAAAGAGGGAAGCATCCCCAAGCAAAGCTTTTGCTTGTTCTGGCACTTCCTATTTTCTTGTCACAGTCCTGTGACAGTCTGTGTTAACAGATTGGCTAAGGTTATTAAATATCTTCAGAGATCTAATGAATTCTGGAGACATGAGCATTATCAAGTTCACCAGGGTAGTTCAAGTTCAGAGGGTCTTGTGACTGGCACAGTACAGATTATGGATCATTTTAGCCTGCAGCTAAAATATGTATGTATTGATGAGCCTGTGTGTCACATTCCATTATTTATGCTTAGTATAAACATTGAGAATTTGCTGCTGAATTCTTTGGATGGATGGATCCATATGAACACGCTTTTTCTTCCTTGCATTCAGTATCTGTTTGAATCTTGTTTAAATAATAACTGCCCTTTTCAGAATAAGCACTCTCTTCATTGACATAAATATATCCTTCCAGGAAATCCTGCCTAACAATCTGTAGCTAAGTACTTGGGCATGTTCACTACATGGCAACTTAAGAAAAAGGTGCTCAGGAAGCAGAATATGACATCGAGAGTAAATAAGCAAAATATACTTTTGACCATTTTGTTTCATTATTATTTTTATGGCTTCTTTTTCTCCCCAGTCGCTAAGTGGTTTTGCATTGGTCGTGAGTGCTGATGGAATGATCTTCTATGCATCACCAACAATTGTGGACTATTTAGGATTTCACCAGGTAAATACAGAACTAAATGGCTCTGCTCCTGCAAGGCTTCTTTACCTGATTTCAGATGATTGATCCCTTTTGCCCTTTAACTGCAGTCCTTTAGAACAGATCCCATGCAGTTCAGAGGGACTGCTACTCTTCCTGAACTTTTCAGGGGCTGCAGAGAAGAGAAAAAATGGTTGTGTAATTCTGCTTTCCACTTGTACAACATTTAGATACAACCCCTAGAAAGTTGCATATTCAGGTGCATTTATATCACTCTTCATTGGCCATAGTCACATGTCACACCAAGCCACCCTGACAATAAGATGGTGGGCTGGTTAGTCAAGTGCAGGCAAACAGATGATTGGGCTCACTGTGGGTTTTTGGCCCCCTATATTTTCCCCTCCCTCCCATTTGGTCCTCATGTTGGTATGTTGGGTGCACCATGACTGACCTGTCTCCCTGCTTGCCACGATTGGCTCACCATGGCTTTATTTCACCTCCCCTTTCTTTTTCTTTTTTCTTTTTGGATAGTTTGAGAAGATTAGCTTGACAGCCAGAATCTACAATCCCCTTTTTGAAAGCTGCTCCCCGCCCCTTCAAAGCATATGAGTAGTACCTAGAAGAGACTGTCAGTGCCTGGCACATCTTTTTAAATTAAGATTTTTTTCCACATAAAATGTGCACACAAAAAGGTGTGTGTGTGTGTGTATTAGGCACATGTGAGCATCTGAGGGAATTTGAAGCCCCAGACGTGGCAATGTACTGGGGGTCTACCTGCTGTCAAATGTAGCAAGTACCACACCTAGACACTGCTCCAAAGACTCCTTTTCCAACTTGGGTTTGGTTTGGCAACTGCCAAATGGCAAGTCCGCTCCATGGATCACTGCCTTGTCGTGTTGAAGGGGGCTTATGTAGTACAATGAAGCTATGAACTATGTCATCCAGGGGCATCCAAGACGGACAGGTCATAGCAGAGAGCTTTGACAAAAGGTGATCCACTGGAGAAGGAAATGGCAACCCGCTCCAGTATCCTTGCCATGAAAATCCCATGGACAGTACCAAAAGGCAAAAACATATGATGCCGCAAGATGAGCCCCTCAGGTTGGAAGGTGTCCAGTGTGCTACTGGGGAAGAGCAGAGGGCTAATACTAGTAGCGCCAGAAAGAATGAAGCGATTGGACACTCAGTTGCGGAAAGTAGAAAAAAGCACTAGGCCATTCAGGTATGACCTGAATCATATTCCTGATGAATATACAGTAGAGGTGACAAACAGATTTAGACAGAGTGTTTGAAGAACTATGGATGGAGGTTCGCAACATTGTACAAGAGGTAGCAACTAAAACCATCCCAAAGAAAAAGAAATGCAAGAAAGAACAATGACTGTCTGAGGAAGCTTTACAAATAGCTGAGGAAAGAAGGGAAGCGAAAGGCAAGGGAGAAAAGGAAAGATACAAACAATTGAATGCAGAATTCCAGAGAATAGCTAGAAGAGATAAGAAGGCCTTCTTAAATGAACAGTGCAAAGAAATAGAAGAAAACAATAGAATAGGGAGGACCAGAGATCTCTTCAAGAAAATTGGAGGTATGAAGGGAACGTTTCATACAAAGATGGGCATGATAAAGGACCAAAATGGCAGGGACCTAACAGAGGCAGAAGAGATTAAGAAGAGATGGCAAGATTACACAGAAGAACTATACAAGAAAGAGCTTAACGTCCCTGATAACCACATGGGGTGGTCACTGACCTCGAGCCAGACATCCTGGAATGTGAAGTCAAATGGGCCTTAGGAAGTCTGAGCAAAGCTAATGGAGGGGACAGTATACCAGATGAGCTATTCAAAATCTTAAAAGACGATGCAGTAAAAGTGCTACACTCAATATGCCAGCAAATTTAGAAAACTCAACAGTGGCTACAGGGTTGGAAAGGTCAGTTTAAATTCCAGTCCCAAAGAAGGGCAATGCCAAAGAATGTTCAAACTACTGCACCATTGCACTCATTTCACATGCTAGCAAAGTTGTGCTCAAAATCCTACAAGCTAGGCTCCAGCAATATGTGGACCAAGAACTAGCAAAAGTACAGGCAGGATTTCGAAGAGGCAGAGGAACTAAAGATCAAATTGCTAACATACGCTGGATGATGGAGAAGCTAGGGAGTTACAGAAAAACATCTATTTCTGCTTCATTGATTATGCTAAAGCCTTTGATTGTGTGGATCACAACAAATTGTGGCAAGTTCTTAGAGAGATGGGAGTGCCAGACCATCTTATTTGTCTCTTGGGAAACCTCTATGTGGGTCAAGAAGCAACAGTGAACTGGACATGGAAATACTGATTGGTTCAAAAGTGAGAAAGGAGTTCGCCAAGGCTGTATTTTGTCACATTGGCAGAGCAGTAGAGTGTTGGGGGCTCCCTGCTGAGGGGCACTGAGGCGGTGGTGTGCCGCCCCAAACCTGGAGACAAGGGAGGTTTGCTGCCTGCCAGGCGCATGCATCCGGCATGTGAAGGACAGAGTGGAGCGTCTTGTTCGCTCCGGATTCACCAGCCGCTCCTGGTGATCCATGTGGGCACAAACGATGTGGCCAGGCAGGGTGTGGTTGGGACCACCAGGGACTTCGAGGCCTTGGGGAAGAAACTCAGGGAGCTAAAGGCCCAAGTGGCCTTCTCATTGATCTTACCAGTCTGGGGATTTGGGCCAGGCAGGGACAGGAGGATCTCTGAGGTGAATGACTGGCTTAGGGTGTGGTGCCAGAAGGAACGCTTCGGGTTCCTTGACCACGGCACCCGGTTTCTTGCCAATGGACTTCTGCCAAGGGATGGGTTGCACCTCACGAGGATGGGGAAAATGTCCTTTGGAGATGCTCTAGTGAGCTTTGTCTGGAAGACTTTAAAATGAGCTGGGGGGGGGGGAGGTTCAGGTCCCCCAGAAACATGTCTGCACTGGTCAAGTGTGGGGAGAGGATCATGGCTCTGGAAGCAGGGTTTTAGAGGTACTACAGGGACTGACAGGACTGACAGAGAGGGGCCAGGTAGCTGGGAGGAAGGAGGAGGCTGGGAACTCCAAGGAAAGGAAGTGGTGGGAAGGAGTTGAGGTGCATGTACACCCATGCTAGGAGTATGGGTAATAAGCAGGAAGAGCTTGAAGCTCTCCTGGGAATAGGAGGGTATGACCTGGTGGGAATTACTGAAACTTGGTGGGATGAAATGCAAGACTGGAATGTGAACATAGAGGGGTATCATCTTTTTAGAAAAGACAGGAAGGGAAAGAGAGGTGGGGGCATGGCTTTATACGTCAGAGAAGGGATAGGATGCAGTGAAATAGAATGCAGGACAGACGGGGATTCGGCAGAGGCAGTCTGGGTGAAACTTAGGGGTTTTGACAGGGAAAGGGACCTGACAGTGGGGGTATGTTATCGCCCTCCAGGTCAGCTTGAGACCCTGGATGATGTCCTGACAGGCCAGATTCTAAGGGTATCTCGGGGGGAGACACAGTAATTATCGGAGATTTCAATCTCCCGGATGTTAGTGGGGGGCTCACTTGGTGGTTACAGTCAGGTCACGTCGCTTCCTAGAGGCTATAGAGGGAGGGTTTTTCACACAGAGGGTCCGAGAGGCGACAGGGGGAAACATCCTTGACTTGCTCTTGACCAATAGAGAGGAGCTGATAGATGAAGTACAGATTAGGGGAGCTCTGGATGGGGGTGATCACTCCATCCTTTGCTTTGAGATCAGGGGACTGGGGATGTGCAGCAGGTTGAGCACTAGAAGCTGGGACTTCAAGAGGGCCAACTTTGGCCAGCTGAAGGCCAGACTGGGGAAAGTCTCCTGGGATAGGTTACTGGAAGGTAAGCGAGTTGAGGGGTGGATGGCACTCAAAAGGGAGGTTTTTGAGGCACAAGCCTTGACGATACCTCTAGTTAGTAAGGTGGGGAGGTGGAGGAGAGTTCCGCCAGGGATCTGAAAGGAGGTGGTTAGAAGGATTACACTAGACGCAAGAGAAACCTCCATAGGAAGTGGGTACTGGGGCAAATAGACAAAAGGGTATACTGGGAGGAGGAGGCCCGTTGCAGTAGGATTCTTCGCAAGGCTAAGACTGATTACGAGCAGAGACTTGCCAAGAATATCAAGAGAAACAAAAATGGCTTCTATCAGCATGTAAATAAGAAGAGGAAGGGGAGACAAGTGTTGGGACCACTAAATAAGGAGGAAGGAGATCCAGTGATATGAGGGAACAGGCACAGATGCTAAATGACTACTTTGCCTCTGTGTTATCCCCAAAGCTGGATGGGGGAGATCCGCATAGGAGATTAGATGAGGCCGGAGACTTAGGGGCACAGATTAGAGTCACCCCCCAGAAGTCAAGTGGCTCCTCAGGACATTGGACATTACAAAGGCACCAGGCCCTGATGGGTTACACCCGAGAGTACTTAGAGAGTTGGCAGGGGTCCTCTCATGCCCACTGGCCTCCATTTTTGAGGCCTCGTGGAGAATGGGTGAAGTTCCAGAGGACTGGAGGGTGGCATCAGTGGTCCCAATTTTCATAAAGTGTAGTAGGAGGGACATGGGGAATTACAGACCTGTTAGCCTTATGTCCATTGTAGGAAAAACAATGGAAAGTCTCATAATAGAGAGAGATCAAGTGATTCTAGATAGGGAAGGGAGGCTGACAGCCACACAACACGGCTTCCGCAAAAACAGGTCCTGCCATACAAACCATGTGGAATTTTATGACAAGGTTTCAAGATGGCTAGATGGAGGGGATGTAGTGGATGTGGTATACCTGGATTTCAGCAAGGCCTTTGACAAAGTGCCCCATGATATCCTGGTGGAGAAACTGAGGAGTCTTGGAATACACCAAAGCACTCTCTGGTGGATTAGGGCGTGGTTGACTGACTGAAAGCAGAGGGTTACCATTAGTGGGGAATCGTTGGGATGGTGGCCAGTGACAAGCGGGGTCCCCCAGGGCTCTGTCCTGGGGCCAGTCCTCTTTAATCTTTTCATCAATGACATGGAAGAAGGGGTGAACAGTCTGCTGATCAAATTCGCAGACGATACTAAAACTGGAGCAGTGGCCACAACTGAGGAGCAGGTACTGCAGATCCAAAAGGATCTGGACAGACTATGGAAGTGGGCAGGAGACAACAGGATGGTGTTCAGTGTGGATAAGTGCAAGGTCTTGCACTTGGGGCATAGGAATAGGTGTCATAAGTACAGGTTAGGTGACAAGTGGCTGGAGAGCAGCACTTGTGAAAGGGACCTCGGGGTACTGGTTGACTGCAGGCTAAACATGAGTCAGCAGTGTGATGCAGTGGTCAAGAAGGCAAACACCACCCTTGGTTGCATTGCCAGAAGTATGGCTTCTAGATTGAGAGAGGTATTACTACCACTCTATACGACTCTGGTGTGCCCGCAACTGGAATATTGTACTCAGTTTTGGGCCCCTCATTACAGAAAGGATATAGCCAGGTTAGAGTCAGTGCAGCATAGGGCCACAAGGTTGGTGACCTGTTTCAGGGGATGGGATATGAGGTGAGACTGAGGGAACTGGGTCTTTTCAGCCTGGAGAAGAGGAGACTCGGATGGGATCTGTTGGCAACATACAGTTATGTGAGCAGATGCCACATGGAGATGGGTAGAGACCTGTTTTTTCCTGCAGAGGAAGGCAGGACGCGCTCCAACGAAGCAAAGCTCAGGGAGCCAAGGTTCCATTTAGATGCCAGGAAGCACTTCCTGACAGTCAGGACCCCGAGGGTGTGGAATGGGCTTCCACGAGTGGTCGTTGAGGCCCCATCAGTGACGGTGTTCAAAGAGAGGCTGGAAATGCACATGGTGGGCATGTCGTGAGCAGAGGCAGAGCCGGCTGGAGCCTGTGGTCAAATTAGATGGCCCAGGAGGCCCCTTCTGACTCGCTCTGTTTCTATGTTTCTATTTAACTTATATGCAGAGCCCATCATGAGAAGGGTGGGGCTAGATGAATTACAAGTTGGAATTAAGATTGCCGGGAGAAATATCAACAACCTCAGATATGCAGATGATACCACTCTCATGGCAGAACGTGAAAAGGAACTAAAGAGCCTCTTGTTGCGGGTGAAAGAGGAGAGCACAAATGTTGGCTTGAAACTCAACATCAAGAAAACTAATATCATGGTAACCGGTCCTTTCACTTCCTGGCAAATAGATGGGGAAGAAATGGAGGTAGTGACAGATTTTATTTTCCTGGGCTCCAAGATCACCACAGATGGTGACTGCAGCCAAGAAATTAAAAGACTCTTGCTCCTGTGGAGGATAGCTATGGCAAATGTAGACAGCGTACTGAAAAGCAGAGACATCACCCTGCTTACAAATGTTCGTAGTTATGGCTATGGTTTTCCCAGTTGCAATGTATGGCTGTGAAAGTTGGACCATAAGGAAGGTTGAGCACCGAAGAATTGAGGCCTTTGAATTTCTGGTGCTGGAGAACACTTCTGCGAGTCCCTTGGATCGAAAGGCGATCAAACTAGTCAGTCTTAAAAGAGATCAACCCTGATTGCTCTTTAGAAGACAAGATACTGAAGATGAAACTCAAATACTTGGCCACCTAATGAGAAGGAAGGTCTCACTGGAGAAGACCCTAATGCAGGGAGAATAGGAGAGCCTGGAGGAATGTTGTCCATGGGGTCGTGATGGGTCGGACACATAGCATAAATGGCAAGATGTTAAGAGAAATCAACAGCACAAGTGATCTTTGCTTGTGAAAAGGGAGTGGATTTACATGGATACTTTTGTCAGAGATATATGGCAGTATATGTCCTTGATCAAAAGAGAAAAAAAATGGTCAGTCAAAAACTGCTCAGGACCTATCCAGGGGAAAGTGTGTGTGTGTACATTTATGCACGCACACTTTTGCATTTTTCTGAGCACTGATGGCAATGAAACCTGAATGTTGAGGTTTTAGTTTAGAAAAAAACAACTCATACATTAACATCTTTTGTCTTAAAAGAAAAACACAATAACAGAGAGAACGAGCCATGTTCACATTCAGTGCCCACAAGTTGGGGGATGCCGTGCTTGCTTGTGCACACACTCACACCCTCGCCCCCAAACCAGCCACCGGGAATGCCGCAGGAACTCCAGCGGCACTTGAAAGTTTACCGGAGGGGCAGAATGGGTGGAGGAGAGACTCTCACTGATCCCTTCCACGGTTCCATTGTGATCTTCCTCAAAGTGTCCCCATGGTGCTTCCAAGCCTTCATGTGTGGGGTAGGGTGGGGAGGGGGTTCCCCACCACGTGCCCACTCCTCTTGCTTTGCAGCAGTTCCAGCCTTCACTTTTCCTTGTTTTGGTCTCCCTCCCCAGGAAGCACCATATTGATCCCGGGCGCTCTCTCTCTCCTCCTCCTCACTCCTGCTGCTGCTGCACTGCCTCAACCCACTTGCTTGCTTCCTTCGCCCAGCTTCCCCACCCAGCCAGGGAGTGGGTGCACCGCTGTGCCTGCAGCTACCGAGTCAACAGGGTCCCACCCCTACGCTAGGAGGGCAGTCTGAGCGGCCGCTCACATGCTGTGGGCCATGAGGAGGAGGCTGCGGCAGGAGGAGGGCGCCGCTCGGCATGCCCGCTTCCTTCTTGCCTGCTTCCTTCCTGGCGCACCCGACACGGCTGTTGTGCCTGCCTCTGGCCACCTGTTTGACACCACCTCTTGCAGTGAGTTGTGGCTAATGAGTTGCCTGGCGCTGTTACTCTTTCCAAATATGTGCATGGCTGCTGGGGCGATGCTGGGGCATCTTGGCTAGTGTGCCAACAGGGAGGGCTCTGCATGCCCGCTGTGGCACGCATGCCATAGGTTCACCATCACTGACTTAGAGTCTTGGGAAAAGTGTAGAATTTGCACCAGCCTGTGGACTATCAGGACAGAAAATGGTGGAGATCTTGCCATGAAGCAGTTGTAAATCATGCCATCCAAACTTTCTCTGATTTTCCCTTGTTGCAAGGGATAGTAGTAATGCCATAGACTGGCTTAGAGAAAAGAATGTGGGGACAATAAGTTGCCAGTAGAAAGTCACTGACTTTCCAAAGAAACAAAGTATTTCTATACCAAAAAAAGCAATAAAAGCTGAAGAAGGTATAAATGTAACAAATGTTATGAATATTTCAGACTGATGTAATACATCAGAATATATATGATTATATTCATGTGGATGACCGGCAAGATTTCTGCAGACAACTACACTGGGCCATGAATCCACCACAACTAGCACCTGAACAGCGTGTGCAGACAGAGACAGGTATCTTTTAATTAATTTTCTGTTGCTACATGTAAGGCCATGCAAATTATGAGGTGGGTGTTGGGCATTTCCTTATGCCATTTATTCTTTCTCGGTTTCTACTATAGCTTATCTTTTGCCATTTCTCTGCTGCGGTTTGGCCTTTTTCCACCCCATCCTTTTATGCAACCCCACTCCCACTCACCATGCTGCTCTTCATGCCACTATTCTCTACGAGCCTCTTCTTTCCACATGTCACTCTCCTTTGCCTTCTAGTCTGTTTGGCTTGTTCACTGCTCAGAAGTTCACAATCTGAAATGTACTTTTTATATTGTTGTTTTTAGGTGAAGAATTAATTCTTAATACCATGTTAAAGGCACAGGAGAGTGAGAATATGCTAACAGACTTTTCATCCTTTTTAACACGATGTTTTACTTGTCGAATCCGCTGCCTTTTAGACAGTACTTCTGGCTTCCTTGTAAGTAACCACATATATCAGTTCATTCCAAAACAAAGGTCTGGGTAAAATGTAGATAATTGGAAACTAGACATTTGTATATTTCAGTAATTTAGTTTTTGCAAATATTCTGTTTTTTCCCCAAATATTGGTGCTGTTCTTGGAAGCGGTATTAAAATAAAGGGTGCAATATTACAGCTACAATGCCTATTTTAACGCTAGAACTGCTTGTTACTTTGTGCTTATCACCACTACCTTAGAGCGCCTTAAGAAGGAATTAGACAGATGCATATCAGGGGTTAGTAGCCATGATGACCATGGGGGACTTCCAGAGTTAAAACCGATATATCTCTGTATAATGACTGCTAGGAGAAAAAGCAGGAAAGATTTATTTCCTGTGTTGGCTTCCTTGGTTGGAAACAGGATGCCGGACTCTCTTTAGGTTCTTAAATGTGCATTTGCTGAAGTCATGCAGGAGGGATTTTGCAGATAAGAACCGGTGAATGGGGGATGCCCAACCTTACCCAGTAGATTTTTCTCTCTACTGGTACTTCCCTTTGGTCTTGTTTTTGGATTCATAAAGTGGCTGAGGGAAATCTAATATATAATTTGCTGTGTTCTAAACTGTACAACAAACCTAATTCATGGGTTCATTGTTTCACAGAGCAAACACTGGTGTGTACTTTACAAATGAAGTACAACAAGTTTCTCTAAGAACTGCTTCACATTCCAATTTTTACTATGCTTCCCTGACTAGGAAAACATAATGTACAGTCTCTTTCACTATTGTCTGCCCCATTCACACACAAACTAAAAAATATAAAATAGCTGTGTGTCTGAAAGAAGTTAAACCCTAACCTAGTTGTGCTTCAAGTAGTTTTCTCCTAATCCAACTCTCACTAGTATCAGAACTAACCAGAAGAAAACTGTTTGATGCAATAAAGCATGTCAGAGTGGATGTTTTTGCTGCCTTTGCTTACATCCGTGTGTGTGTGTGTGTGCTCCACATACAGTGGTACCTTGGCTCATGAACTTACTCCATTCCAGGACTCTGGTCATGACCCAAATTGGTTGTGAGCCAAGTTAAATTTTCCCATAACATTCAATGTAAATAAGGTTAATCCGTTCTGTAACTATTTTTTTAATCAGAAAAATGTAAAGCAAAGTTTACATTACAAAGACAAAGAACAACAAAGATCACAGCCAACTCCCTGCCCCGCCAGCGTGACCACGATCGTACCCCTCATCCCTGCATGTGCCCACAATTGCGGGTGCGCTTGGAGGGGGAGACAGGCGCGAACTGGGGTGTATTTGGGGGAGAGATGGCCAAGATTGTGGTTGCGCTCCTGCAGGAAAGAGGGGCGCAATCTCAGTCATCTCCCCGCCCCCAGCACGATCGCAGCCATCTCCCCACTCCAGGGGTGGGGAGATGGCTGCGATCATGGTCGCCACTCAATGCAGAGTTAATAACCTGAGTCAAAATTTTAATGAAATTTTTGTTCATGACTCGATTTGGTCATGAACTGAGGTCTTTGTTAGCTGAGGTACCACTGTACATGTATACATGTGATTTTCCTGCACAAAAGTTAGAAAATGTTGTTGTTGTTATTGAAAATTATTACAACTGAAAAATATCTGTTGTTGGGGAAGGAGGCAACTCTTTTTAAGGGCTACTGTACATATTCCTGGTTTTTATGAAAGGATTATTTAATAATGACCACAAAGCAGTATGTAGACACTATGGTATTGGATCTAAGAATAGGCTGCTTTGTAAGTTACCTAAGTATTGTGGAAACTTTCTGAATGGATGGATTTTATACTGCCCTCAGAATGTCTCTTCAGGAGAAACCTAGTGGATCAGATGACTAGTTTGGTACATTTGTCTCCCAGTATTTCGTCCATATTATTTATTTTGCTGCAAACAAGATTTCTGTATTTTATTCACACAGTTTATCTTTCCACTATATCTACCCAACCCCATGAGTTTAGGCGGAAGGAACTAGAGCAGTGATGGCGAACCTTTTAGAGACCAAGTGCTCAAACTGCAACTCAGATCCCACTTACTTATCGCAAAGTGCCAACACTGCAATAAAACCTGAATTGGCTGACCACCAGTACAAGAGGGCAACGTTCCACTGGCCGGCCCTGAAAAAGGCATCTGAGTGTATTTCCTACCTTTCCTACCTTCTGCTAAAATCACAGTCCAAGGAAATCCCTGGCAGCGCATTGACCGGCAATAATGAGTGACGTTGTTGCCTGGCACCCTTAATCTTTCCGAATATGCGCATGGCTGCTGGAGCGGTTGCATGCCAACAGAGAGGGCTCTGTGTGTCCCTTCGGGCACACATGCCATAGGTTGTCTATCATTGATCTAGAGCATGAGTCCTCAAACTACGGCCCACAGGCTGGATCCAGCCCGCCATGCCCATTTAACCTGCCTGCCCCAGAGGTTTTGCACTCGCCACGCAGGCATGCGGCTTGCTCGCACAGAGATTGGTTTAGAAAATAATCTTGTGAGCAAGCTGGCACCTCACTGTGTGCACTTTCAGCAGCGGCTTGCTCGTGGGGAGAATGTTTTGTACTCACTTGGAGAAAATGATCTCTGCTTGAGCAAGCAGCTGCCTTGCGCGTGCGCACCGGCCCATGTGCCCCCCTCCCCCACCAGCACCGCCTTGGCAGCCTGCACCCATCTCTGGCACCTTTCAACTGGCCCCCCTGTTGGAAAAGTTTGAGGATCCCTGATGTACAGTTTAGGCCCAGGGGCACCTTGTGATTTAATAGCTAAATAGTGAATGCTGGTATGAGTCTTGACCCCATGATGTTGCACTGGGAGAGAAGGGCCAGCCAACTAGAGGGTTGGCACACAGAGAAAAGGCGTGCTCACTTCCAAAATGACCCTTCCATAAGGATGGGGCCAAACATACTCAAAAGGAGGGTTCCTGGAAGTAGTTGCTAGATTGAGTTCAACGAACCACTTGGTGCATGCTCAGAGATTGATTCTGATGATTGAGTTTCTTGGATATACTTTGATGAATAAAGAACTTTTGCAAAGGAACAATCTGTTGCCTTGAATATGTGAAAGGAGGAAAACCTAGCACACAACACCAATTTTAACCATCATGGAACTTGAATATGACTTGTTGCTACATCTCACTACATTAACATGCCTATGTCAGCATAGGAATTCAGTCAATGATAGCATGCAAGCATACAACTTATAATAAACTGGTATATTACTTTGTATGTTTTACTCTTTTCTAGACAATGCATTTTCAAGGAAAACTGAAGTTTCTCTATGGGCAAAAGAAGAAGTCATCATCAGGAGCAATATTACCACCTCAACTGTCCTTATTCTGCATAGTTGTTCCACTTCTGCTTCCTTCTGTCACCGACATGAAGTTAAAAGGCCTTTTTGTGAAAGCAAAATGCAAATCTGATCATTTAGCCACAACAAATACAAAGCAAGTGCAGATGTATTTTTTGACACCTATTCTTTATACAACACTTCACTGGGGATTGTGTTCTTTAAAACAGAGCTAAATATGTTAGCTATAAATCCATTTAAACTTTATTTTAATTAGGCTTTTTTTTTTGCCTTTTCCCTTGAGTAGACGTAGAATTTCACCCTTGATTTTGAGAATGTTATATGTTATAATGTAAATATTTTATTTATTTATTTATTAAAACATTTCTATGCCGCCCCTTGCCGAAATAATTTTGCTGATATTTCACATTTGCTGAAGTTTCTCCATACTTAAACACTGCTGCTGAGATAATTCATAACATACTAATCCTGCACCAGCAACCACCAGTTTCATCACTGTATACCTTTATCCCATGCCCTGTCATGGGCGAAAGGGAAATCTGTGGACATGTTATGCAGTACAACAGAATTAATGCAATCCTGTGAATACTGCTATGAACCAAGGTAAAAAGGAAAGAGACATCTATTGAGGTGCAAACTTTTTACTAAGAAATACGATTATGTAACAATTTCTTTGAAGTATTTTTACAACAATTACTATGACTCTTTGGGACATATCGGGGCATACTCTTGACTGTGCTGTAATTTATTAAGCTGTTGTCTTGTAATTTGATTTCCACAGCTCAAATACTGTTTCTGGACAGTATGTGGCTGATTATAATAGAAGACATGTTTTTCAAGAAGGTATTGTTTTCTCCAATAGTTTGGTTTAGTTTGTGGGAGGGAGGGAGGGAGATTTATGTATGTGTGTGTATTTAATAAGGGGAGAGACAGGTCTGTGCATGTGCTTCATCTGTGTGAAAATGGCTCTTTGTGCATATGGTAATGAATAAGGTATGTGCTATATGTACAGCTATGTGTATTTGTGTATGAAGGGGGGGGGGGCCTCTGGCAAGTGGCACCCAGAAGGCTCCCTGAAAGTGAACTTGCCCCTTATTACTAAAAAAGGTTCACTGCCCCATTCTACCAGTTAACAATTCATCTAATACAAGTTTAGACCCATGAAATTCACATTAGTAGAGGGATGGGTTCCACTACTCCAAAAATGGGAAGGCCACATTTAATGTTTCATAGAGAAACATTTGAAGGGAGTGTCATGCTAACCATATTTTTCCCATTTTTGGATGGTTTGTTATATTCAGTTTTTGCTTTCATGCCTCTGAGAAAGTTTTTAAATTGTAAATGCTGAAGGTATGATACATGTGAATGCATCACAAAAACGTCAGTTTTAACTCCCCTGAAAACTCAAGACTCTTTTGCTTAACTGCCTTTGAATGTGTATTGGATTACATTAATTTAGGTGTCACCTTCTACTTTTGGGCAACATTAAAATTAGGAAAGGAAAAGCTCCAGGTCTAAATCAAAACAATGTATTTTCCAGCCCTTTTGTTTTACTCCTGTTAAGCAATGACAAATTTAGGCTTATATTTTTCTTTGTGCTGAACAGCAGAGCATTCAGTAGATCATAGACTGAGTAGACTACTATCTGCAAAGATGCTACAGCAATAATAAAATCTGGTAACATGCTTATGATATTCCACCTAAAACATCTCTGTAACTTGTATAGGAAAGAATAGAGAAAATGGTATTTCTCTGATGAAGCTGCAAGCAAATGAAGACCACTGGGTTTGGATTCAGGCTGGTACTCAAGTTCAGTGCAGAAATGGTTCTTCAGAATATTCCATTGTTTTTCCTAAGTAAGTATACTTAAAAGAGCTTTCAAGATATTCATAGGATTTGTGAGAAGTATTTTAAAAAGAAATCTTAATTTGCCATCCTAATTTATGTGGAAAGCACAGTGTTTCCTCTCTGGTGAACAGCATACCTTAGTTGTAATCTAATGCAGAGATGAGTGAATTCTAATTTGAGGAAATTAGTGTGACTAAGGGCATCACATTTTGCACAAGATTGTGGCTTTTAGGCTTCCCATTCTTTTGAAGCATTGGTTTACAAACAACATAACATAGGATATGAATTAGGGTGGTTTAGATAAACTGCTAAAAGTATTTTGTGACCTATATTTTCATGAGGCTTTATCCAAGGATATAATTTGCAGTTGTTGTTATGAGCCATCAAGTCTTTCCAGCTTATTGTGGCCAAGTTTATAGTACTAGTCCTCCAAGACAGAATAAGATGCAGACCTCAGATTTCACTTAATTTCCAGTGTCCATTTGAGTCTTGACCTGTTGATAGAATGCATTGTAGAGAACAGTGGTGGGGAATGTGTAGCACCCCAGTTGATGTTGGACTTCCGTCAGTCTCAGCCAGATGACCCATGGGTCAGGATGATGAGAAAAGAAGTCCAGGATTGTCTGGAGGACACCAGGTTTCCTACAATTAGCATACAGCAATGGGAGCAACCTTCATGCTGTTGTTGTAGCTGATCCATCCATTGTTGTTTCTTGCCAAGGTGAGTAGAAGCTAACCTAGGTCCCTACACATATTTAGTACTACATTTCCCATCACCCCAGCAGATGGCTTATGGTCATGTGGGTGGAGATTATGGGAGTTGTAGCTCAGGGCATCTGGACGTATACAGATTGGAAAAGCAACCTTTAGAGCGGTGTTCTTGAACCTTGTGCTTTCAAGAAACATTTGGACTGCAAAACCCAAAATTTCCAGTCAATGGCCCTGCTGGATGGGAATTCTGGGAGTTGCTGTCCAAATGCCTCTGAAGGGCACCAGGTTGGGGAAGGCTGGTTTAGAGTATGCCCTATACAGATATATCATAAATCTTGGTGCTGCTTTTGCACATTTAAACAATGATTATTTTTTGAATATCCTGTTTTAATACAGATAATTCAGTTGAAGTCACGTTATATTCTACTGTATTATTTTTAGCAGTTCTTTAGAATTGTATGGAAAATATGCATTCCATCTTTCTAACTGTAAGGTCTCCCTCTGCTGGGATCATTTATATTTGCAAGTTGATCTTGTCAATATGTTTAGTTTCATCTTTCTGGTCTGTTGGTGGTCAGACCTAAGTGAAAACTGGCCATGGGCAAAACAATTAGTTCATGCAGATGGCAGCATGTTTAAAAGATGCTCACCCCCATGTGCTGAAAGAATAACGACGCTACCACATACCCTCCTCCTTTGTAAAACTTTTTGTTTCATGTATTAATTTGAATTTTGGATGTCTATCTGCATGCTGTCTGCTTGTAGAGAAGTGGAATGTGCGTTTATATGTGTGCAACCAGCATGCTGGCTGTTTTCACTCTCAAAAGCTTCTCACCTATTGAGTTAGGGTGCAGTCTGGTCACACAGAAAAGCTCTTACACTTAATAAGCATGAGCCTCCACATTTGAAAGGATTGTGCAGTAGGTGGGAAACTATTTACATTTACCTGAGAACAAGTCCCACATAATTCCATGGGACTAAATTCCAAGTAGATTTGTGTAGGGTTACATTGTAATGGGAGTTCTTGGAAACAGTCTACCTTTCACCATAGGTATAAACATAAGCTTGGATTCTCCCTTCTTCAAGGTCAAAGATGTTATTATTTGAAATACAAGTGCTCATTGTGGCAGTCCCCAAAGCAATCCAGAGCAATGTGCTGATCCATACCAGCAAGCCAGTTGTAGCAGTTTTCATCTTCACCAGAAGCAGGCCCTTTGTAAAGATAATGTGTTTTTAACTGTCCATTCAAGACAATACTATTACAGAGTAGCTTGCATTACAAGAAGGAAAACTATATTGATGATGGGAACATATATGTCTCCCCAGCTACTGTGAATTACAGTTAAGTTCAGAGGGAACAGGAAATTCAGAGTGGGTAGGCAGTGCTAGCCCACTAGGCCAGGAGCTCCATATTTATGGGACACTATCTGTCCCACCACCGTGCTGTCCATGGATCCTTGCTGAAATAAAGGGGCAGGCACCTTTATGTTCTCTGTTGGATCTGATCACCCTGGATTAGATGGCTTTTTGTCTGTATGTGCTTCACTTGCTGCTACCTCCCACTTCTTTGAATGTTTCTGCCTGCATTTTCCCCCCTGAAATTTAATGCCCTCCTCTGATGGTTCATACAGTCCTTTTTACAAATATGTTTAGGCAACAGGCTCTTTCGAAAACACATGCACAAAGCAATGTAGGCGCATATGTAAACTAACATGTGCAGATTTGCTAATTTAAAAAAAAAACTTTTGGTCTTGCACCCAGATTTTTTTCAGTACCCAGTCCTATACCTGGCATGGTGGCAGATGACATGAGTGTCCCAGCTAATCAGAAAGTGCCAGCATAGCATCTTTGTGAGCCCTGGCTGTTGGACACCATTGCTTGTGATATATCCAGACTCCTGTTGTCCTAACTGTTTACGTTTGTGCTTAGCCTATCTAAAAACATTTTAATTTTGAGGTAAAACAACTAAGGGTATATATAGAATTTTTTCAGCTACTGTACTAAAGCTTGGACATTGACTCCAAGTGGATTGAGGACAGATCTTTATACAACTCATAACTAACCTACGACTTCATTTTCAAAATATTTTTAAATTAGCTTTAAACAATGATTTGCACATTGAGGATAGGTTCATGCATAGGTATAGACCACCATAACTGTAAATAAAACTGCCATGTCAAGGGGCAGTGTATCCAGTGGAAGCTGGTAGCTCCAGTAAAAGTCTACCAATTCTGGGCTTTAGACAGAGTTTTAAAGGAGCTGTCTGTGGCATTGAATCCTGGCTCCAAACTAGTTCCAGCACCATGGATAGCTTCTTAAACATTCAGGTTTCAGCTTAAAGTACTCTGCACCACTGACATCAGTGCCACCAACATCTATTTAGTATACCTCCAAATACCAGATGTTCTGAACACACAATGGGAAATGTGCCTCCACATTTTTCTGAGGTATGGTGAAACACTTTATATTGTTTTGCAGTTGTGTTATACTTAGGAAAATATAAGTTAATGTTGGGAGGAGTCATCTAGATAGGTGATGGTGAATGAGGTGATACTGATCAATATGCACATGTATAAATATGTAATGCATGATAACTAATTTGTTACTAAATTAAAAATGTGATAAGACAATCAGTGAATAAATATATAAATAATTCCAGTGAGATACTAGTGAATTCTTGTCCTTTCCCATCACCATCTATTTTTGTGTCTCACATTACTGCTTATTCTTAGTATTAGTGTTATTATGCTTGCTGATTTATACTTTCGACTTTTGTTGAAAGGGAAGACAGCCATCAGAAGATACCAAACAGCATTGCAAGCATGAAAGGAAATAGGGAAGCATTGGGACAAATGAAACATAATAAGTGGATACCAAGAAAAAAAGAACAGGATAGCATAAAGGTGAAGTTTGAGCCTAATACAGATGACAATGAACCTTCTATTCAGCAAGAATTTGTTAATCCTACTCTGTCACTATTTGGTGTTCAGCACAGTAACAGTGGAAATGGCATTTGGACTTCAAGGAATCCATCAAGTTCTTGTTCTAGAAGTCAGCGTAATGAGAATACATGTTCAAATAAACCTCCAAGACCTTTCTTCAACAGAGACCAGCACCTCTTCAGTTTATCATCAACCTGTCCTTCCCACTGGGGTGGCATAGAAAATTGCCAGCCTTATCCAAGCTTGCAGCAATTCACAGCCAACAATTATTCAGGAGAATACATGAAATTACAACGCCCACCAGTATCCCCAGAAACTCTGTACAACGGGGGGTTAACGTGTAACATGTTGATTAAAACTGAGAATGATTCTGACTCAGAAAATATAGCTAATAGTTACACCATTTCACCAAGCTGTGTTTGGATTGATGAAAATAGCACAGTGAAAAAGCAGTCAGTCCATTTTCCTTCTAGGGTCCACCTTAAAACAGAACTAGATCACACTGAACAATCATCTCCTTATCAAACCCCAAAGCATTGTGTCTATCCACCTTACAACTGGCAACATATTGTGATGCATCAAACCAATAATATCAGTAAAAATGGCCTTGGCAAAATGATGCATAATAAGGAGACAACTCCACTGGGCCCCCAGAACCCAATCTGTATAGAAACTGTGGAGAACATGCAAGGCTCATATTATTGCAATCAGTTTTATAATCCTAGCTTAATAGATGAGAGAGGGCTGAATAGCCAGTTTCTAAAGACAAACTCTGAATTTAAAAATACCAACTTTATTCAAACAGTCAAACATGAGCCCTTAGATTCTCCTCCTATATCTGGCAGTGGTCAGAATGGAGCCCAAATTACTTTCCCTGAAATGGCAGGTTCTCTTTCAAACAGAATAATGGGCCAGCAAACTGTGTAATATTGGTCATTCAACAAAGCATCAGTAGTGCAGAGATGGGACACAAAATAGGAAGTATCTCATTAATACAGTCTTGCTGTTGCAGAGATATAGGGCTACTAGAACTGTTTTGATGCAGCTCTGTGGCCCTCCTTATGGATTATTGATGGGTATTCTAATTCAGAGTTCCAATCACCCATAAAACTTGACAGAAAGTGCACTTAATATTTATAAAAAGCTTGGCACATTGCATTGCAGATAATTTTCTGCTGCAAGAGGGCAATTAATGATTTGTTTAAAAAGGAAATGTATGCATAAAACTATGCAATGGTTCATCATCCAACACTAGCCATATGCTCTATGATAATCAAGTAGTTCAAGATTGTTTCTTGTGCTTACAAGGAAAAATAAAAATAGAATTTTTTAAAAGTTCTGCATGTGTGCCATGGATGTATCAGGCAAAAGGAGGAGGGGAAGCAGTTTCTGGAATTCTAGCCTTGGAGAAGCAGAAGGGAGTACAGTTTGCCTAGGGTAAGTTTTATGGCTAGTGTGGCTGGAAGAAGCCAAGGAAAGAAGCTGTGACTATACAAAAGGTCTGAAAGGTAATGGGCACTTATATTCTGGCTTGTCTATATGAAGATGTTGATACATAGCTTTGGTTAGCATTGTGGAAGTCAATCAAAATGTCTATGCATTAAATGAAATTAAATTAAATTGGTTAATTGCAACATGCTTCCAGATGCAATCAGCTGCTCTAATGACAAAGATTTTCAAGGCATCATCAACTTCATCAGCATTTGGATGCTATTGTACCTTCTGAAATTGTCATATGTATCTGGAGCTCACAATGCTTTGTAGTAGCCTACTATCTCTGTTCACAAAACTCAGGAAGATTCTATTTGTCCCTTTGCCACTAGAAATTCATGTTATTTTCCAGTTCCTGTGAGCCATGGAGTCAGACAATGGGTCTACTGCTGGCATGGCTTTAGCACCTGTGGTACAGAACCAACACAGAAACTTGAAGCCAGAATCTATGTAGTCTGGAGATGGAGTATGGACCATACCATTGACTGACGTATCTCATCTCTTTTATATTGGAATGTTTTGCCTTTTAGCCATCTTTTACATGGAACAATTGCACTTCTAAATCTGTAAAGCCTTCTAATAGACTGTGTGCATCACCTTTGTCACTGTGTAGTTTGGATTTTTGCAAATATCTATTAACATATACCGAGAAATAAGATAAGTTACCTGGCTAAATAAAACTATATCCCACAAGTTTAGGGGAAAGAGGAGTACCATCAAAAGTACACATCCTGTCAATTAAAATAGGTCTTTTATATTCTGGAAGGGAAACGATATGAAATTATAGTTTGTCACCAGAAGACAATTCTATTATGAAAGAAAAAATAAGCAGTGACATGCTTTTTTAACCAATACAATCAAATGAATACATAATGTAGAAAGGTCAATTGATACCATAATCATTTTTTAACAATTAAAATATATCCACTTTTCCCATTGTCTTTATATTTTTAACATCATTATTAAGTGGTCCAGCATTATTAACATGAATTTTAAAAGCTTGTGAAAAATTTCCATTTATATTTGCAAGTCAAAATTGTATACTTGGGTTTAGGCTTACAAATACTTGTTTGCTCATGCAAAAATGGATGATGTAACTTAGAGTACATTTATAGCAGCAAAGGAGAAAGCAACAAAATTATATTTAAATAATAAAATGTCTGAAAATAGTTGTATAACATATACTAGTGCCCTGCCCTGAAAGATAGCAAGAATAAATTGAAAAACCATATTTCATTCCTTAATTTGGTATTTTCTTCTAGAATTTTACTACATTAACCATTTGTCCAAACAGTTCCGCTATTGCAGGGGTGGGCAGATTTTAGACTTGAGGATCTACTTTGTTTTTCATTGAAACTTTGAGGTTCACTAGCCAGAGTCAGGTGCAAAATAGCTTAGAATTTCAAAACAAGATGCTTCTGATTACACATTTGGTCCAGAATTTCTTCTCAATACCAGAACTAGAATTCATACATTCCTATTCCTATTTACGCTAAACTTTCTTGTCTGAGAGAGATTTGTTGGGGGATGTCTCTATTTTTAAACTTTTAAGAATTTGACGCATTACTGATCTACTGCAAATCATTTGGTGATCTACCTGTAGATCCTAATCTACTCTCCTCCTGCCCTTGCACTAGTGACTGCCCCTACTTTTTAGTGAAAATTTATCAAAATTTGTAGTCTGCTGCTATCCAAAATGTAAAATTTACCATGTGTTGATAAATATCCCTATGCAAGTTAAAGTTTGGAATGTGTTAACTTGTCTTTTCCTACTCTTGATTTCTACTTATATAGTTCAGTGTTGCCAGATACGTGAATTTTTTGTGTCATATGAGAAATCTACCTCTATATTAAGTATGAGACACTTTGTACTCCCATATCAAAGTATATGAATTCAGGATTGTTCATTACAGCTTGGGTATCATGGCTAGTAGTATGACAGCAAGTCTCAGTCCATATATGACTGTCAAATTAGATGTGATGTTGAGTTGTACATACTTTTCCCTTCCCTTCACACTTGTTTCATTACAGGATGAAGCCACAGTGGCTGCTATATGATGTGTGATACCTGTGTGGAGATGGATAGGTTACCCTTTGGAATTTATCCATGCTAATGTAGTTAATATAAAATAAATTCAAAACCAATTACAAAGAGCAGATTAAAAACAATTCAGTATAAATGCTGACTATAAACATTAAGCCATATGGAAATCTTGACAGAATAAATAAATCTTCTGATGTGGAGTTTTTAATTCCTTAGAGGGGTCACTTTTCAGTATTCTGTATCTTTGGGTCTTTTTAGATGAAGCTTCTAGCTGCCAGTTAAAAGGCATTCTGCATCTCTTCCATCTTTCCCTCCATGCTAGAATGAAAAAGATGGGAGATACAGTGGAGAAAGACAGAAGGTAATAAGAGATGACAACTGGATTCCCATAATATTCTATAAATAGTGTAGACTAATTGTAGAATAAAAGCCTCATCTGCAAGCACCTATTATTGACTGATCTGGAGATGAGTGACTGGCAAAAGTTAGTGAATTTTTAGATGCTGCAAGCATTAGAAAACATTTTATATAGTGTGAAAGTTATAGTACGAAATGTAGGGTAATGGGGGCAACTATATTTGTATTTTGCATATCCTAAAATTGTATTATTGGGTTTATTATTGGTTGGATAGAAGGTTTGTACACTGACCTCATCTAATATTTGTTGTGAAATATACAATTTTTGGGGGGGGGGGTAATGTTAGCATACCCAAATTTCAATGTATTTCAGGGAAGTAAAGTGTCCCCAAACAAGTTTATGTACAGTATGTTCTGTAATCCATGGCTTGTTTCAGGGTTATTTAACAACCTCTGTTATCTGGGTTTGCATGACACAAACCATGGCAAACCAGGTGCCCACAGGCACTATAGAGAGATAGTGCCTGGTGATGTCTGACATGATGCAAAATTCCCTGTGTGTAAGTCAACCTTCAGTGGATTGTCATGACTTACAAACAGGTCTAGTCTCAAGAACTATATAAGAGAGATGAAAGGATGGCAGACTAGGAATCCTATGAGGAAGACCGTGCAATATTAGTAAAGTGAAAGCTGCTACTTGCAAGGAATAAAGCACCTGTAGTAGATAGGATTCCAATAGAACTATTCCAAGCTTCAGAGACGGAATCAGTCCAAAGCCAAACAAGAATATTCCAGCAAATATGGAAAACAAAATGATGGCCTACAGATTGACTTTGTTCAACATACATTCCAATCCCCAAGAGAGGAGATGCAAGAGTGCTGCATGCATAGGATCATTACACTCATTTCCCAGGCAAGCAAGGTGATGCTCAAAGTGCTGCAAAAAAGTACACTTCTATATGGTGTAAGATATGCCTGAAGGTCAAGCTGGATTCCAAAAAGGGAAACACATTCAAGATCATATTGCAAATTTTTATTTTTTATTTTATTTATTAAAACATTTTTATGCCGCCCCATTCGCCGAAGCCTCGGGGCGGCTTACAATAAATAAAACCAGTAAGTTAAAATATACATATAGATAATCATTATAATTTAAAACACACAATATAAAATAAGCCGCCCTGGCCAGATAAAATTCAGATTATGTGTCGGCTACTGAAGCAGACCAGAAAGATCAGTCTATATTTTATAGACTACAGCAAAGCTTTTCACTTTGTGGATCATGACAAGCTATGGATGGTTCTCAGCACTTGTTTGTCTTGATGTGTGAGCTATACCATGAACAGGAAACTACTGTGAGGACAATATGGAGAAACAGAATGTTTTCCCATAAGCAAAAGTGGCAGGCAAGGCTATATATTATCTCCTTATCTATTCAACCTGTACACCGAACTGTGGATTAAGAAAGGTGAATTAGGATCAGAGGAAGGAGTGAAGATTGAAAACACATCAAGAATTTAAATATGCAGATAGAAGAGAGCACAATGACTTGAAACTGCTTCTGCTGAGAAAAAGAAAGTGCAAAAGCAGGACTGCAGCTGAATATTGAGAAAACATGAGATCAAAAGTATTACAGAACTTTACTGTGAAGAAATTGAAATTGTGAAAGATTTTACATACACAGGCATTAATTCAAAGGGAGACTCAATTCGAAGAAGACAGACTTGGAAGGGCAGCAATGAAGGAACTAAAAAAGATAATCAAATGTAAGGCTGCTTCACTGGAGACCAAGGCAAAGTTTATTCACTGTATGGATGTGAAAGCTGGGCAGTGAAGAAAGCTGACAGAAAAGTGATGTATTTGAAATGTGCTGGGGGTGAGATGGGGAGTTTTACAAATTTACTCTGCAACAACAGAAAGACAAGTGGGTCCTAGCTCAAAGCAAGCTGAAACTCTGGCTTGATTTGCTCTATGACCCACTTACTTGTCTGTCAATCCAGGGTAAATTTAATTTTATAAGTATTTCTATTAACAC